ATGCAGAAGGGGCAGAAATCTGAGGACGTGCCTCACTCGCTAGCCCCTGGCTTTTCTCCTCATCTTCTGCTTGACCAGGAGTCTCCTCCAAACAACGGTCATGGTCTCCACTTGGCTAAGCAGGTCAGAGTCCAACCAGCTCTACCTAATGAACAATGCTGTGCACGTCTCACTACAGCACTTTGATGTCAYGCTCATGTAGAGCATTTTCACACTTGTAAGGATCACTCCTTCTGTTGTTTTCAGATAGAAATAAAAATTCTTACAGCTGGTGCTGTGGCACCAGACAAAATCCATTAAAACCTTTGCAAAGCTTAAAAAATCCTATCAAGATTTTTAGTCCAAGTGACTTCTGCAATTGAAAGACTGAAGCTCTGACCTTGCAGTTGTTCCAGGTGCTCTGCCTCAAGCCACCCATTTTCCTAAGATCTTTTGTCATTTCTAGTTGCTAATAGCTGACCTTGTAGGTCCCGTGACAGTGTTCAAGTCCACCAGGAGGATAATGGCATCTACAATTGTGAACAGAGGTGTGGAAAAAACATCCACAACAAAGCTCAAAATCATAATAAAATCAAAACACAGAGAAGTGTGTTTTACAATTCTCTATTTATAATTCTCTAAAAAAWAATCCTCTCTCTCCAGGGTTGCAAAACAAAACAGTGATCAGCTACCTTCTCTCTGAGAAAGGACTGCAAGTGCAGTGCAAGTGAGATATCAGTGTGTCCTCGTGGCCAAGGAGGCCGATGGGATCCTGGGGTGCACTAAGTGTGCATCTGGAGTCTCCAGCAGGTCAAGAGAGGTGATTGTTCCCCTCTACCCATCCCTTGTAAGGCCACATCTGGAGTACTGTGTCCAGTTCTGGGCTCCTCAGTACAAGAGAGATGTGGAGCTGCTGGAGAGAGTCCAGCACAGGCCTATGAGGATGATCAGGGGCCTGGAACATCTGCCCTGTGAGCAAAGGCTGAGGGAGCTGGGGCTGTTCAGCCTGGAGAWGAGGAGGCTGAGGGGGGACCTRGTCAGTGTCTACAAATACCTCAGGGGAGGGAGAAGGACAGGGTTGGCCTCATTAGCCTGACACTGCGTGTTCAGGGGTTTGGACTACATGATCTCTAAAGGTCCCTTCCAACCTTAAGAATCCTACTACTCTATTCTATGACTGTACTCCCTCCTCCTCCTCTTTTTTTTTTTTTTTTTTTTTTAAACTTAGCATAAACACGGAAACTCAATTTAAAAACTCCTATTTCGATTCTTTTTCTCCTGTCTAGTCTAATCAATGTAGTTTAAAATGGTGATAGCTATTTTCTAGGGTTTTGCCAGGTGATTATGCCAAGTGAGGTCTTTATATGCAAACCTTGATCATATTTATGCTAGACTGCCTTATTAGTGCTCTACAGACAGAGGCTCATGTTAACACCATTGACTTCCTGCCCTCATTCATTCATCTGACATAAACGCTTGTATCTCAGGAATTAATAGGTCACCTGCAAGCAGTGGTAGCAGGGCATGCCCTTTTTACACACSTATGGCATAGGTGTTGGCACAGAGTACAGAAAGCTCAGGAAAAATGGGCTATGAATTGCAAACAGAGCTTTCAGTCAATAAATCAAGCTCCTGCAAGCAAAAACGCACAGGTTTGTTTTCTGATATGCACAGGAAAAGTACCAGTCTCTCTTGCTGCACAGCACTCTGTCCCCGAGCAATGAATCTGCCACRTGGATTTTCCACTTCTACATGTCACCGAGTAAAGCACATAAAATATTTGCAAAGGTACAGAAAAACTGTGAAGTTTGAAATGATGTAATTACGTTCCTACCTTCTACAGATGAAATTGTACTTGAACTGCAAGGTAAGAGGGAATGGTCTCTATCATTCACGAAGAATTAGGTGTTCAGGTTCGGACTGCATCTCAAATCAGCACCTATTAAATTAATAACTCCTGAAGCTGTTTTAGTTTTGGCTAAAAATTGATTTGGCCTAACAATTCTAATTAAGGTAGGTCAGTTTTAGGCCCTCTTGAAGTGATTTAAGATGGGCTGTGTAATGCRAACACAAACTAGTGAGGAGCTGGATGTTGATTTGGTTACACTATTAATGTTTCTGTGAGATCTACCCTCAGATACAGTGGGAAAACACATTACTTAAAAGAAATAACARTCTGAGTCTTATCTGTTCTCACACAAGGACATTTGCGCTGCAGAGCAGCCCTGCCTAATACAATGAAAACAAAAGCACAAGGCTAACGAGAAGAGGCTCTGACTCTTCTTTCCAAAGGTGCGGGAGTACTTGGCACTTCTGAGGATCAGATGCAGCTGGACACTGTATTTGTCCTCTATCCCAGACATTCCCATCTGTGACTTTAGGAGCACTTTTGCATTATTCTTGCTAACTCTCCCTGTTCAGCACTGTCTGAATTATCATTCAGTCTAGGCTTCAACATGACCTTATAATGTCTTACCATAAAGAAACAGACAGAAACAATCCCTAGCACCCGACACTTGCGTGCTTGATACTACATAGCTGATCCTCCCACAGTTCTTAATATTGTAGATATTTGCTATCTAAAAATCAGATTCTAAGAGGTACCACACTGGTAAAGCAAACAATTTAAAAAATTTACTAGATTTCCTTCTCAGAAAGAGCTGGTTCATACAAAATCCGAAAAAATACCACTTATTTTTCTGGATATCTGAACCTGATGGAAAGATTTGGGATGCCTGGGCTGGCTCTTCTAGAAGTTTCATCTAGAGAGAAAAAAAAAGGCACACAGCAAAGGTCAAAAAATGTAAACACGGCAGTATCTCCAGATAGAGCTGCCCTCCCCTCAGAGTCTCCCTTCAGTGAATGGGGACAACTTTGCTGTGAAAAGCCAGTGATTCCATCCCTTAACTGCACAAATTTGGGACCTGCTAAGTCTTTGCATTTAAGTCTATTATATTTCAGCATTTTCCCACTATTCAGCTGCTAATCTCCTGCAATATCACCTTATTATCTTGTTCTAAGATGAGAGAAAAATAATGCTGTCTCCTGGAGACCAGCAATGTGCCAACTGCTAGCAAATACTAGCTTTAAATTCATGGTAGCCTTCTGCTATTTCCACCCTGGACCTGTTCTCTGGAAAGAAAATTGTTCCTATTCCTCAGTTTTGGTGAAGGCGAAAACTAAAGAATGGCTGGATTCAACTTGGTCTTAGTTAAATGCTTTCATGTCTGAGGAAAATAATAGAGCATTTTCTTAAAACTTGACCACACCATGGTGAATCAACAGGTACTTGGTATTATGAGAAAAAAAGGATGCTGTTCAGTCTGATTATTCAACCCCTCCTTACGCTTGTGAAAGCCTAATTAATTCTTTGATCTACATTAATGATTTCAGAAAGCATAGTGCACCTGGTGGGAGTACTCAACAGGGAGCATTCCAGGCTAAAAGGAAAACTCCTCCCTGTGTCACAAAAACCTAATTTGCTTGTATCAGTAGAATCAATTGTTTTCTATGAAACTGCTGTCTCCCACAGGTACTGTTGGCTGTGCTGAGAGATAGTTTATGCAGTTTTTACCAGTATCAAAAGCTATCATTTGACAAATAGCTCTCTCTCTCTCAGGGTGACTTTGTGTGGCACGTCACTGTCACACACTCTTGCAGCAGGCAAGAGTGTTTTTTACTAAACAGTCTGGTTATGAGCACAGAAACACGTACCTTATGGTTCTCTGCATTCTTGGCGAGATGAACGAGCTGCTCATATCCCAATTTAAAATACCTGAAGAGATCTATTTACAAGCAAGATCCAGAAAAGCTTGCATGGCTAAGAACAACATTAAATATGAAACAATATTAAATATGAAAGTCTATGAAKGAAGCTATCCACCCCTGCTTTCCTTAATCACAGAACCCCTAACACTAAGTAGCATGYAGAAAGCATAACATAAAGCTTGTGCAATGGGTACTCTTGTCAGGATTTTATTGTCAAATAGTACTTCAAGTTCTTCTGAAGGTGGAGAGATTCCGAGTTAAAAGACACATCAAGAAATACAGTTATATTATTTCTAGCAAATCCCCCTGAGAGTGTAGCAACCTATAAAATAATTTTTAAAATTGGCATGAGTGAAGAAACAGAACGAGGAAGAACATTAAAGAGTGGCCAGCATTTATAAAAACATCATGCTAGGGTAAAATTAATAATGTCCACAGGGATCTGGTTTTGGATCCTCACACCACTGGGAAATATCTTAAGAAGAAAGCACTGTTTGTTTTACAACAAATATTTATCAAATCCCAGAGACAGTGATACAACTTCCCACGTATTCATGGATAAAAACCATGATGACAGGTCCAAAATGTCTGAAGACAAGATATGATTTATTCAAAGATTGAAAGAAAGAATTAAAAAAAAGGAAAGATGCTTTTATATGAGAGAAAGCTGCATCAAAATAGCTATTATGCACAGAAACCTCAAAAAAAGTGAGGAAACAAACATTCTGGTGCTTCCCTAGGGTACATGAATATTTGAAAGTTCTAGGATAAATTAGTAATGGAGTTTCACAATAAAATGACAGACATCAGCTGTATTTGCCAGAAAATCTTGGAATGCATCAAATAGTTTCACAGGCATACATATAAAAAGGGGAACAAATCTGTATGGTATGAATTGTTATTCAAACCAGAACGTATTCTCCAAGGTTCCTTGTGTCCAACTTTGTGGTACATACTGCTCTCCGTGGTGATGTATTTCACTGTCTATAGAATCAAATGAGAAATGATTTCTTTTTTTTTAAATCTAACTTTCCTGGTATATAAGAACAATTAACAGTAACTAAAGAACCATATTTAACAAAACTAAAACTAATACTGACTGCCATCACAGATCTGAAAGCCACAGATGAGCTTTCGGGAAGTAATTTTCCCTATGGATCAGTCAGTATTATCATATGCAAAAGTTTAAGCTAAAAGTAGGGAACAAAGAATGTCCTTACAGCACAAATCCCATAAGGAGACTTGAGCTGTAAGGACGTTCTTTGTTGGTCGACAGTTGTTTAATTATTTTCATGTTGTCTTGATGGTTAAGTGACCATATATCATGCACAGGACCCCATTTTTAATCCTGACAAGGATTTAGTCAGAGCTGTTTCTTACAAGTCTTTATTAGACTTTGATTATTTTACAAGCCATTGCAATATCCCGAGTCCTTAACAGTCCTTAATGATGGGCAGGAATCTGAACCCAGGAATTTCCATGGCAAGTTTGTACAAGCAGCATCAAATGCCCTATTAGGCTTCCTTAAAGTCTGTACATAAAGGAGAGTCTAACTAATAAACCACCACATATTCAACACAACTCTGCCCATCCCTTCTTTTACAGCCTATAGTGCATTTCTAGTGCATGAATCTAGTCCTGTCAGCACAGTGATAAACTCATCTCCTGATTTAATCACGACCAAATCTTTCTCTGATATCAATCCATCAATGGGACTCCATTGATTTATAACAGCAGACATTCTCGTTGTGTAACGTTTGCGCTGTACTATCATTTTCTTCTCATCAAGAAACAAACTCAATTATGATTTTTCTCTGCTCCAGGCGTAACTAATCAGCAGGCAACTCCCTCAGTAAGCCCAGCTATTTCAAATAGCACCTCTCAGACACAGATATCTCAAAAAAGAACTGTTACTTCTTTACCCCTCAAGGGGTGCACGCACAGTCGTTAATCTTTCTTTCATCTCACAGAACGATAATAAAACAATCACCTCCCTATGCCCAAATTGGGTAGGTCCTAATTAGCATGCTAATTGGGCAGATCTTCCCTAATGACTCCCAAACCTCAGCAGTAATATGTTATTTAGATAGAAAAAGAGTTAGTTATCTAGGAGATAGGTAGAATTAAAAAATTGGTGAGTCAGAGCACAGTTTATATAGGCATAATTCTGAAACAGGCCTTTCCTTGAAAGAATCAACATTCTCCACCTGACTGGGGTACAGATCAGATGTTTACAGATTCAGCACCTTGCAAGGTCCCGAGCAAGAGGCATCCTGAAGGTAATATACAGCTGTAATAGAGAACAGCATTCAAGCAGAGAGAAACAACATGCGAGTAACAATGAAGTTTTAAAATATATAATTAAAACTGTTTAATATATATCTAAACAAAGCTGGCTTTTATTATCTGGCCACAAAAATGTACAAGTTGTTCTGCAAACCCAGCCATGCCAGCAGCTCTGACTGCTTGCATTCATGAGCAACTTCAAGATGGATAGTTCAACTCTTAATGGAATTAGTCCACTGGGGCTAGTATTATGTTTATGCAGTTAGAGGTTCAATATAATCAGATTTTTGTGCATTTGCTCTCTTCAGAAAATAGGACTCAATAATAACTTAAATCCGCTGCTAAGCTAAAATGAAAATATTGACAGATGCCATAGAAGTCATTGCTCTGAAGTTCTCTTTCGTATGCACCTCACACAGCAAGGCAGAGTTTGGTTAATAAGAAATAAGGCGTTCTGGCTTTTATAAAGCAAAAGCTTTTATGTTTCTCTTTCAGGACTCCTGCTGTATATCTAGAAGTCTCTGCAAACATGGTCTTACACAGCCAGAGCTGCACGTGTGAGCTGCACACTGGGGAGCGCTGGCTCTGAAGGGCAGCAGGTCTGTGAACAGATCCACAAAGCCGTGTTAGGGAGAACAACTTTGGGCAACTTTGGGCTGCGTGGCAGCAGGTCACCCCACGCTAGACAACCGAGACAAACCCGAAAACACAAACTTCTGGGGCTTCATTTAACTACATTAAAAAAAAAAAATCCATGAAAAGTGGTCAAAGATTTTCATTGTAGTATTTTGCTTTCTGCTATAAAAACCTAAACTGTTGTTAAGCTGATTTTTTTTTTTTTTTCAGTTTTAGGACGTATTTCCTTTGCTGACAAAATGAACACTTTCCCTCTGTCTCTGCTTTATTTTAAAAAGGCTACAAACAAACAAAAATAGCCCATTTTTTTTCATGCCTTGCCTCACACATGAGAGAGGGACAAGCAACAGTTATTGTGTTGCTTGTCCCTGTGACAGACTGAAAAATAATGAGGACATCTGAGCTCTCAACAGTTCAGATCATTTCTTCTCATCATGATATATCCGGGTAAGCCTCCGGGGGGCGGGGGGGCAGAAAAAAAAGAAAAAGTCTATTTGCAAGGAGTCTGCAGGTTTCATTTACTGGCACCCCAGGAGAGGGCAGCAGCACCCACACAAATGCAGTGTCAACACAAATCCTGCTCCAATTCCAGCCCCTCCAAGCAAAACAGACTTAACACAAGCAAACTACTCGGCTGCTTTCATGGTGGTAGTAGCTTGTGCATGCTTGGAGGTATCTACATAGATAGTTCTTTTTGCAATATAGTTGTCCACGCTGAGAGAGCTGATGTTCCTACGTATCACAGCGTGGTATCGAAGTAGGCTTGAACAAAGAGTTGGTGTGGAATAACACCCTCAAGGCTCAAAAGCCAACAGAGCCCGAGACAAACTGCCTCTGGGCGAGGTGTTTTGAGGGGTGTTTCCTATCAGAAATACAGTTCCCTGAACTGCATTCACATTTTCTGTGCGCTCACATCATGGTTCAGTGATAACATAAATCCAACTTAAGATCAACACTACTGCAGCTGTGAGACACAAAACCAGTATACACTTTCTGTGTTGGTAAGGTTGGCAGGTTAACTTTTCACTGGCAGGCTTTACGCTAGATCACGTATCGTCGTCTTCTGCCTAAACGTTTTGCCAGATCTCGTGCCACTTTTAGCTAGCAGAAAACAAACGTATTCTCCATATCTGATATTTTTTGCTTGTTCAATAAAGATCCAATTGCATGCCCATGCCYGATTCAGAGCATGGATCTAGTATTCATGTGATAGAATCTCACCTTTAGTCCCAGGCTGTGACCTAGCATTCCAGGGCACGTCCACTAGGTCCACCACAAGAACTGGAGAAAAAAAAGACATTCTAAGTCTCATGGCAAATTGTAAGAATGGGTCTGGTCAGAATCCTGAAACCCAAACCTACCGATTCTTTTAGTTTTKCTAGGCTGGGACCTGTGAAGTATTTCCAAGGTTTCAAAACAGACATCCTGCTCTTCTTGAAAGCACGCTCTTTTGCTCATTGTTTTACAATTCCTTTTCTCCCCTTTACCATTTTTTTGTCTTGGTATTTTTTCTAGAAATCAGCTTCAAAAAGAAGATTTTTTAGCTACCTGCAGAAAAGAAAGAGGAGGAAATTTATGATTTGTAGCCTTTTCTGAACAACAAAAAGCACAAAGACAATCCTCTTGATGAGATCTGGGTCAYAATCCCCCAGATTCCCAATTCACAAGCCACCCCCAATCAACTGAAAGTTAAATATCTCTAGATGAAATCAAAAAGAGCACCAAAGAAAAGAGCTCAGAATACTGGAGTCCAGTTAAGAGTCTAACCTTTGTCTTTTCAAGAGGACCGATTTATTGAGGTTACCAGGTAGAGTGTAATAGATCAGTAGGTTTTGAAATGCGCTGAAGGATGTGTAGGCTAGAAGCATTAAGGCTATGTAAATGGATTTTTTTTCCAAAAAGTGAAATATGCAGACTTTGCTCATCACTTCCACATAAATGAGTGACCAAATGAAGAGAAAACTGATCAAGAAAAATGTACGCATGATAAAAATGTGTACATGCTTCATCTAAAATTCATTGCCTCCAAAAGTTCATCAAATAATTACTCAATCCTGAACAGCTGCATGCACAATAAAATTTGCTTGCACTAGGTCTGAGTAGAATTAATATTTCTTCAGAATTGCAGCATAAAGCAATATCCTCCAAATGTTCATTAAGTTACAACTCCAAATGAAAACAGTGCAAAAGTAACTTGTATTTAAAAAGACCTTACATGAAACTGATTGATTCCAAGCTGACATTTGTTGGTTTTAATCATGTCCTTCCTTATCTATCTAAGCAAGAGCTTAGCCTGAAGGAATAACAGATCCACTGTATACAAAACTTTAATAATGAGCCAAGTCCAGCCCGTGCGCCAAGCTGCTCAACAAACAGGTGAAAAGATTTATATCTCAGTTGAAATATTTCATTCCTGCTGCAAATGGAAGAAAGCATATTATGGCTCTGTGCAGAAGGTTTTAGAAATTGCACCTACTGTCATTTCATAGTTTCTTCTGCTTTTCCAAACCTCTGCAGTTAGGAGTAAAAAAATCCAGTTAGGGACTGGATTTCAGGTAGGGTTTGGGGGTTTTGCTCCTCCATGGGGAAGGAAATGGAGAGTCTTAATAACCCTTTAGTGCACAACTTTTAAAAGAAAGATTTATTCTATAAATATCCACCTTCTGTTTCCTACTTGTACTTCATATATGACAGGAGACTTTCTCTGTTGCACTGAAGTTAGCAGAAAGGCTCCCACTGACTTCACTTGAGTGACAACTGGTTCAGACCCCAGGCAGGTATTGAAAATTCACACAGCATCAGTTTGGAAGCACTTAGCAAATGTTATTATTTCCTCTAYGAAGAGCTGCTTGCCAAAGATTCAGCTCCTATTGAGAACAAAGAGATGAAGGATGTTCTTGATTTGCCACAGATACCTACTCCCCACACTACCACACTCCTATTTCCAAGCTCCACTGTGAAATTAAGGGAGTTTTACAACAGTGATGTGACCAAAGACAGCCTTTCCTCTCCCCAGGCTGAATGTATTCAAAATGCCTGGGATGAGTGATGACCATATCTACACTCAGACAAGATGGGTAGTGGCCCGTGTAGTTTTGTAATTAAGCTAGGTCTGTGAAGCTTTTATTCTGGAGAAAATCAACAGGATCTCTTATAATTGAAAATGAAACTGAAATGAATGTCACTGCCTTATTCTCGCTGCTGAATCCCAGTAATGCTTAGCAATTGCTGTGTTTGTAATGTAAATACACTACTGTAGCTGCACTGAAATAAATTTCTGCTTTTCCCCTTCTTATCAAAGTCAAAGAATTTGCTCCAGCTGCTGCTGAGCAAGAAATTGGAGAATATTATTTAAGTTATTAGTATTCCACATACACTACCAGATGCACAAGTAAGCCACTAACATCTTTCTTTCTCAATCAAGCTAATTGAATCTTGGCTTGATTGGGTTCAACAGACAATAAAAAAAAATTTTCCTGGTTTGAAAAGTTTTGACCTACCTTCATGAGTGACAAAGGACACTTCTGTAAGAGAAATTGCAGTTGCTTGGCTCATCTGAATCGGCACTTAATTTTGTGATCTCTCAGCTTTCCCTTTGCTTTCTTACTCATATTTCTGTTAGTGCTGTAAGACAAATGAGCTTACAGACACCACAAAAGGTCAAAAGACAGATACTAAAAGAAATTTCTCCATAACTAGATTTTCTCATGGATAGCGTAGTGTTGCAGCATACAGATGGGCTCTCCTCTAGCTGTGATCTCCAAGAGGACCAAATTTAACCTTGAGAGCATTGCCAAGGAAGAGCTRATGTGCATCACACCTAACGTGCACGTGTCTCTGACAGCCCCCCAAGGTCGCTGAGTCCTGTCCCCGACAGCAGCAAAGAGTGAGCGCTTCTTTTCCGACCGCTGCAGTGTTCCATGCTCAAATTGAGCCATGTGCTCTAGCAGTAGGTGTAGCGCAAAGGAGAGTGTCTTGTCCACCCGTCTAATTGGGCTGTAAGTGACTCATTGCAAGGAGAAACAAGGGAAGGTTGGGGCTAGTGCCAGCACAACGTGATGCAGGCTGTGATTAAGAGCAGCTCATGGTGCACAACGAGATAAACGCCATCCTTTCCATCAGCCATGAACCCATCACATGGAAATGGACCTAGTGTCTCTTACAGCACACAGAGACAYGGGAGAAGATGACAGGGGGGCAGTTCTTACAAAAGCACACAGGAAGAGCAATGCCTTTTAGCAATGATAAAGCTCAAACATACAGGGAAAGAAAATATAATGGGGGATAATTTTTAGAGACAGCGGGTCCCCAAGGACACCGGAAGGTTAGGCCCACTATGACTCTCTGATAATCCCTCTTCTGCCATATGTCTGTGGCAGTTTCATGCCAAGAAGACTTTGTTGACCTTGCAGAACTGCCATAAATTTTCYCCAGGCCCTCCTCCCCACCATTATTTATGGAAACTCTGTCACAGAGTACCCTGTGCTTCCTAATTGTCCAGAGGATTTGAGAAATTAACCACAGAAATTAACTGCAACAGTTGCCGTGCTACACAAACCCCATCATCAGCTGTGTCTTCAGCTTAGTTTTCTTAATCTTTCCCCAGCCTAAACTCATAGCTTTCCTAAACTCACAGCTCTTCCCCCAGGGGTGTCCCAGTGTTGCTCCCAGGCCAGATCCCAGAGCACTGCCCTACCTCTTGTTGCGCTGCTGCAACAAGTCAGAGCCTAAGGGAGAAGGGCTCAAAGTCGAGACCCTCAGCCTTGCACTCCAAGGGACGTGACATTACCTAGGAAAGAGCAGAACACACAAGAGGACGGAGCAAAACTTCATTATTAGCATCTATAGCATTAACATCTTTGCAACTTCTGAGCAGCCTTATGTGTCCCGGGCAGGATGACAGTACCTGGAGGCCACATTAAGGCTGGTGTCGGGCCAGCTTGCAGCATTCATAGTCTGGTTTTGTGATCACACTTAAACCGTCATCCCAACCATGTGCTCGCACCTATCAGCCCCCCCTACTTGATTGCAACAGAACTTAGTGTAAATCCCACAAAGCGGAGCAGGGCTGCAGTGATCTGCACAAGTAATCGGCTGTCTAGCAGGACCCAGAATTATCCCAAGTTTTCAAAATATTATGCATTACACAACAGGGATGAATTTGACTACTTCTGACAGAACTGAAGCACCATTCATTAGCATCTGTTTATTTCCAATTTCCCTGTTTATTGAAAACTAGTCCTTCTGAAATACTCACTGAGGGCATTTGTTAATTAACACCAGCCTCAAAGAATTGTCAATCCACTCAAATTCTCTATTTAACAAGCTCTTCAGCATAGCCTCCTCTTCCAAATTGGTTTTCTGATTTGGGCAAACTTCAGTGGAGGACAGGCTGGCTCTGTGCAGTTAGCTTTCTAGCTTTGCTGAGCTCACTGTCATGTGTTTAAGGGAAAAAAAACCTAAAAAAACAAATCAAGAATTAAGAGCTTTCAGCTGCATTCAGTTGTCAAGCAGGCTCTGGAGCACTAACAGATGCAAACAGTATGTATTTTGGTGTGATTAATAGAGAGAAGGCAGATTGATGATGCAGAGATAAGCATCAAGTTCTGAATTAAATCCTGTTTTATGTGCCCGAGTGAGGTGTGTTTTATYATAGTGCGACACCCACCAGCACAGATAAAGTTCAGGGTCCCTCAGCGTTTTCCAGGCAAAGACAGGTCTGTTTTTCAGGGCAGGAGGGAGCTCTGGGCTATAACTCAGCTGTAACCATTCTCTTCAGTCAGTAAGTAGTCTGCCAGACAAAGTCCCCTCTGAGGACAGCTGTGTTTGTCCTGCTAATTATTGTTCCAATTGGTTTGACCTTTTTCAAAGTAAAGGGGAGTTTGAAAGAAAAGTAGATGAAGGTCAGATTTGCTGCAGTTTCAGATGATTCTGCGGCCGTTATAGCTTCAGATATTGAATTTTATAACTATGAGCAGAGAACATGGACAAGATCCTGAGAAAACAGTGAAAGGAAGATTCTCCTTCATGTGTTTCATACCAATCCCTCCCATAAAAGGCCCTTGTTACAGCAAGAGTTTGAAAGCTAGGAAGGGAAAGCATATTTAGGTTCCTAGCAGGGTGCTGTTTGATGATCCTTCTCCTAGGGATTTTGTTGTGATTTCTGGTTTCATTCTAATCTCACAGGAGACTAAGACTTGACGCTCATCAAAGGTGTTTCATAGAGAAATCACACTGTGTGAGGAAGCTGAGAAGTTCAGAGGGACAACCTGAGGCATAGACACCTGCTCAACAAATTATTGCTTTRTCTACTTCAGGCATGTGAGTGAACTTGTGACGTTTTGACTTAAATTGGACAAAAACACTTCTTTTAGAGTCCAAATTATTAATGAGAAAGGCCTGATATTGCTATTTTACTGGCTCAAAGTTGTTAAAAAAATCTATTTTTACCTTTAAAAAAAAGTCAGAAAAATTTTACACTAAGAAATTTCTAAGAAAGAAATTAAAAAGAGAAAAAAACTCAGTTAACTCAAACTTCCTTTCCCTTTTAAATTTTCTGATGTTTAAAAATATAAGAAAATTCTGTGCTTTTTTTAATGACAATTTCAAGATCTGGAAAATTCTCAGAGAATAAGAAAAACATCCATCCTACACAGATTTCATATAAAGGAGTCAAAACCAAAACAAACCTTTGACCTGTAGCATCAAGAACGCTTATACTAAATTAGACCCATGTGAAACACAAGAGAAACAGAACTGCTGGAGGAAAGGGAGACAGTTATAGGATTGCAGGGCTACACTTTGAGGGGTAACATGCAGAAGACAGGCAGACTAGGGTACGTGGCACTGACATGTAGACAGCAGTAGGTACTTCCCAAMTCCTCATCCTGGATTTRTCACTGCCAAGTCACTRCATCTGTTTGGCTTGCGTGAAATGYTATGTCCTTTATTATGCAAGCAACCAGATGAGACGGTCATCACTATAAGCTGTGGTCACACTGTGACAAGCAGAAATCCATGAATAAAAATCTATAGTTGACTAGCGAGCACTAGGGTGCATTTCCACTTCTGTATTTCCATGTAGTATTTATGCCAGAAGTTACTCTAGGCACCAATTCCACATGTGGTTGGCTCTTTCTTCGACAATGATCCTTTACATCTTTTAACTGAACTCTACTTAGTCCATCTTAGAAAAAAGGTTAATTCAAAAATGGCATTCTCATTCCAAAAAGAGCAGCAGCCCCTACAGAGCTAACCAGGACCAGTTAAATGGCTTTACTTTCAAAGCTTGTGTATTATTCCACACTGGTGTTAGGTRTAAGTGTAAATCTTAGCTCATCTTTGCTATAGTGCTTCCACCAAGGCCAGCCTTTTAATGCTGTCCCTCATCTAGGGCTTTTTTGGACAGATCTACAGTGAATGGTGCAAGAACGTTGGCCTGAACAAGACACCACTGCAGTTGCACACTGAGTRCTCTCATCCCACCCCTCTCCTACAAGCGTCCTAAGCTGTCACGGCTCCTCCACGAGATCCTGTCACACTGCTAAGGCACAAGAAGCTGGAGCCATCTGCTTCCTTCAGCTAATTACAGCTCACTCCTGAGATTTCTGCTGGGACTCTCCCTTTTCAGGCATGCCGGAGTGAGCGCGGAAAGCGTTAGAGGAATCGATCACATTTCYCCACCTTTTAAACAAGAATAAAAATAGAGGTGCCCTTCGAAACAAGCAAACCAGCACTATTTCAGCATTATTTTGCTTCTTTAGAGGTGAGTGGAGATATCTTTCTCTGCAAATGATTGTTTACCATGTACACAAATAATACTAGGAGAGGATGAAGTGTCAGCAGGGCCTGAATTTTCTSTTGTTCTTTAATAAATAATGACAGCCCTTGCTTGGAGTTCAGGAAAGAAACTCCGCTGCCTTTCTCCTGCCAGGACATATTTATGCATTATGGAATCAGACTCTGAGCTTTCTGACACTGCAAGGTTAATTCAGTCATGTACTTGAAGAGATGATCTAGTGGTTTTCATGCCCTGAAATTTGGAATTATTAAGCCATTCCAATGTTACAGTCTCGCTTTGGGAGCTGCTCTAGTTGTACGTTTACTGGAGATATATCTTATGGAGAAAGTTAGCGTGAAACCAGCCGCTTCCAGACCTCATCCCAAACGTGCATGAGTTTGATGAGATTTTACCGAGTCCCTCAAGTTCATGCACTTGCCAGGTAAAAACAAAACTCACAGCCATTAGAAATAACACGTTTCCCCTCCCACATGTACATGGTTCAACTCACCCCAGTGCAGATGCAATTTCAACGTTGGTCCTTTATTTGAATGTTCATCTAAGTATGTGTTAAAATTTCCTTACCAACCTTATCTGCCTAAGTATTTTCCAATTCACTGAAATAAAATCTACACCATCTTTCTAGTCCCTCCACAGCTCATTTGGTCAGCTCCAAAATTAGATCCTGGAGTTCTCTTAACTTGCCTCCAGCCTCATAAGCTACTCCTAGCACAGCTTGACTTTGGAGCATGAAAAATCAACCTGGATTCTTTCCAAATTTCCTAAAACCACCTTCTCAACAGTCACAACGAACAGTAAAGAGTAAACTGGACTTAAACAGTTCCATTGTTTCTTTAATTTACCTACTACTCCTGTGGTTTCTAGAAAAAAAGAAAAAAAAAAGAAAAAAAATCACACAAAAAAACCACATGCCCTTCTCTGAGATTCTCTTGAGGATTCAGTGCTCTTGTTTATCCTCAGCTAGCTTCTGTCCTCATCTGCTTATTTGTCCCAGTTACAAAGAGAAATATTGAATAAAGTTACTTTTTTCCTCAGGTTTGTCTCCACCTCCACGCTCCAGTCGCTGCCACAGATAGAGCTCAGGACTGTGCCCTGCCCTCAGCAAGCGCTAGGGCTGCACGGTGAAATGAAACCACATCTTTATATTTATCCCGCATGAGGTAAAAAAACAGAAGGGAAAACAGTAGTATCCTCATGCTGCCTTCAAAAGACCAATCAACATCCAGGCTGAGGGGGGATCTGACAAGTGTATATAAATAAGTGTATATAATATAAATAAGTGTATATGTCTATAAATACCTCAAGGGAGGGAGTGCGGAGGATGAGGTCGGCCTCTTTTCAGGGGTGGTCACTGAGGAAACAGCCACAATCTGAAGCACCAAAAGTTTCACAGGAAATTAAGATAAAATTTCTTGACAGTGAGGGTGACAGAGCCCTGGAACAGGYTGCCAAGAGGAGGTTGTGGAGTCTCCTCCTCTGGAGATCTCCAACACCCGCTTGGGTGCAGCCTGTGCTCTAGGTGACCCTCTATCTCTAAAGGTCCCTTCCAACCCTCAGGATTCCATGACTCTATAACTTCAAGTGTACATGATCAAGCCTAAAACAATTCTGTTTCAGAATTACAGTTTAGCTGTCTCTGAGTTTACTTGGATGAAAATCTGATCCTCTTTTTTTCTCTCAAAACGGTTGCCTTGGCTCAGTCCCTGTGCGCTGCTAACCCTGCTCTGAATCCAAGCAATTGCAGCTCACACTTTCCACTATGTATGTTGTTTTATTATGTGCCTGCCGAGCATTTTAAGAAGTACTGCAGTCATTTAGTGAACAGAATTTACATCTGCTATAATYTAGCCATGTAAATTTATCTGTAATTTAGCCACTTTTTACTCCCTTCTGTCAGTAATGCTGTTCCACTTTTCATACTGGCTTCCAGGTATTATACTTACTGCTTTTATATGCAACATACTGTAAAATAATATTCTAACATCTTGCTTGAGTCAGCCTCCAATTGAAGAAGCTGCAGCTATAGCTTCCAGTCTACAGGATAAAGACATCTTTAAATGCCCAAAGAATTTCAAAAACAGAAAGGAAAAAAAAAAAAAAAAAAAGCAAAACAAATAAAAACAGCAAAGGTGCTTCTTTTACAAGACCCAAACAATTCCAAGCACTGTGAATATTAAAATGCCTCAACCTCTCAATTCAGCTTTTACCACTAGAATAGCACTTTAAATAGTATCAATACTTTTTCCTCATGACGGATTTTTTCCTATTTGCTATTTCTGACTTTGAATTTAGTGCTGAGTAGACACAGGCTAAGACAAACAGTCCTTGAAAGTGAATTGAACTTTAGTCTTTAGGTTATAAATCTCCCCTGCATCCCTGTGTGTATTTCCCATAAAACTATCTGGCAAGCATCCTCGTCTAGGTAAAGTCATCTCTGTTTGGATCAAATTTTCACTTTGCCAGGGACACAGCAGCATTGATTTCAGCGTGATCCGATTCCCACCCATCTCRTCCCTTCCCTTGCATTTTTTTTGCAAAAAGATGAGGGGTCAT